GTAACATGCAGTGAAGCACATTGCTAGTCTTCATTCTCCATTGCAACATATTTTCATTCTCTGCCAATTGCTAATTGCCCTATCATTACTATTTTCATTCCTTACAAACATCTAAGGTGCTAACCAGGTTGCTTTTCTGTAGTAGCAGGTAATTTATTTGTATCCATGGGGATAAGCAGTTGTCACTCCTATTCATGCTGTTTCATCATTTAAAAATACTAATTATCTCAGAAATCCTGAGGTTCTTGTCAGATTCCTCATCCTCCCCAAGTTTCTTATGATATCCTCTAAACATAAAACCTGATTTTCGACTTTTGAAAAAGGAAGAACATTTACACGTCTCTGGTGAGTGTCACTTACTAAAACTATCTTGCAGAATGAAATCATGTAGTAGTATATGTACGTAGTATCTATAGTCTGTCTTTCCTCAGAAAGTGCTTTTGAACCTTATAGATGGCCATAATAAGTAGGAGAAGGACCTCATATATCACTGAAATGTACAACCCAAGACATAAAAACACAGCACTTTTGAACATCTGGTCTTTGTAGTCTTCCTCTTTAATGAACAGGGAGGTAAAATGGTCACATAAAATTACCCTCCTGTCCGTATCTCACTAGTTTCTGAAGAAGGTGATCTAAGCTCCAGATCTACCAAGGAACTCATGTCATTCCTCCAAGTTATAAAAAACAATGAGTTGTAGCATCATGATGCCATCTTTGTCTATCTGGACAGCACAGACTGCCTGAATTCTATGACTCATATGGTGTTTGTGCAAAAAGGGGAAAGTTGTCTATATAAAGAAGGAAAGAAGAAAAGGTGCTTCCACAAATCCTACCATACATATCATTGGGTCAGTTAATTCCTGTCTGCACTCTGAGATAGAGTTATATCTCGGCCTTAGAAAAGGAAAAATATTACAGTCTGTTTTGCAGATTTGGTTGTTTTTTGTTAAGTCAGCTTCTGATCTGCATCTTTTTGCCAGCAGAACTTTCTGACTCGTGCTGCCTGCTAACTTTGACTCAAGCCTGGCAGTGTCCAAAAACAGGGAGTGTCTCCAGTGACTTCTGGGGACATTGGCTCAATCCTGAATTCCTCACCCTCACCACAGATGCTTTCAGAAACATCCTACAGAGCACCAGGACTCTACTTAATCTTGGGTTTGGGAGTTTTTTTGTTTGGTTGGTTTTGTTTGTACTTGTTTTTGTTTTTCTTTTTTGTGTTTTGTTTTTGTTTTGTTTTTTTTTTTGTTTGGTTTGGTTTTTTGTTATATTTTTGTTTTTGTTTTTTTGTTTTTGTTTTTTTCTTCCCATGGCTGAAGGAAACCCCAGCTCAAAGTAGCTTTGTGGGACAGTGTCAAAGGGAACACACTGTATTTTCTTCTTTCTCTTCTTTGGACTAAGGGACTCTTGGATGGCCTTCCTTTTCAGTCCCAACCCTGAATGAGGCTGTTGGGCAGCATCAGCTCCTCACGGCTGTGCTCTGCTCCACAGTCCCACGAGTTCCCAATGGAGTGAGTCTCCTTATGTGCGCAGACCCTTTGAAGTCACTTCAAAGGGGTTGTTTGCAAAGGGGCTGCAGGTACAAGGCGGTTAAATATGGCCAATACCGTCTTTAGTGTTTAACGATTCAAACACTATTTCTTACGAGCAAACAGAGGCATTTTTTTATATTGTTGACACTGATCCTCTAGCTTAGCAAAGGGCACTCGTGCAACATTTTCTACCTCAATTTATCATCTGCCCTAGGCATTCGTTGCACTTTGCTCATCATTAGGGAAGAAATAAAAGCCATTCACTAATCCCCAAACCACTTTGTTCCTCTATGGCCCTTCAAAGAGCAGGGCCCCTAAATGGTGATTAAGGACTCTGGAGACCTTTCTCAAGAGAGATTCATTTGCGTCCCCATATCAGGCAGAAGGAATCAAATTCTCAAGCTGGGGAAAGTTTTTTTTTTAATTAATACCACGGGACTGAAAATAAAAAAAGATAATTATATGAGGCTTTTAACCTTTTTATAGGCTTTTTATTTTGCCTTTAAATAAAACCAACTCTCTCTGCTCAGTTAGTGGATTTAGGGTGATGGAGTTAATTTGCTGGCTGAAGATTGCAAGGGTAGAAGTTAAGGTAAAATCTGCTGGCCTCCCACTGAAGAAGCAAGAAGTTGTCTGCCCAAAGCCAGAGGAACTTCAACTCCTCCAGCAACGCGGGGACAGGAGAGGCCGGGACTTGGGCTGAGTCCGAGCCCCAGAGCAGCTGCCAGACGTGGGGCTTTGAGGTGGGCATGCTGCCTCTTGGGGAGCAGCTGCCCATGTGTAGAGCATCCTCTCCCCAGCCCCGGGTGTTTGATGGACACAAACCCACAACACTGGCAGCTGTGGCAAACACTTGATTTTCTGCCCTCTCGGTGTAAGTTGAATTTTCTCATGAATGTGCAAATTGTAGGGGGAAAAGCTGACATCTGTGGTCATTTGCACAGGTGTGAGACAGGGGCTGGGTGGGAGTTCAGCAGTAAATACTACCCCAAAAGTGGGAAAATTTAGAGACTTCCATTTCTCTTTTATGACATGTCTATATTTTATCCATGTGTTCTGTTTTTTCTTCTTGTCTGGAGCCCTTTCCTGTAGCATGTGCCTGATGAATACCAATTCAAGACATGACCCCTAGTTAGAAGTTTTCTCTCGCTCCCTCCCAGGCTGGATGGTCACATTTCTTATTTTCCTTTGAGCACAGCAAAGCTTTATTTAGCTCTGGTGATGTTGTTAGAGGCTTGGGGACACAGGTGCACACGTGGGAGAGTGGAGGCACAGCCATAAATTGAAACACTCTTTGATTTACTGTTAGAGGACTTCCCTCTTTTACCTCCATTCCCAACCAGAGAAAATGCAGGAATTCAGAAGAAGCCCTGTATGACAGAAATGAAATATGTTTCACCTCTTATAGCTGGCTTCAAAAGCTCAGCACACGAGAAAATTGTGATGAGTCAGTAATACCCATGAAATGAAAACAATTGACACGGATCTTCTTATGGTACTGTTCCTAGGGGTGCTTTGTTTTGAGTCTCCATTTTAGGAGAACAGTGGGAAAAGCACTTTTGAAAAAAACCCTTCTGATATCAGTGAAATTCTGACGCTTGTTTAAAAAAATCATGCAGTCACCTCACAGCTAAGGGCAATGGTATTGGAGTTGCAAGGGGGCTGTAGAGCTGCCACCACTTCCGTTGGGCTGTGGGGGAGCTGGAGGGCACCAGCCAAAGGTTCAGTCCAGCAATGCTGGCTGTTGATTACCAAAATACAGCCCAGGGACCAGCACTGCCCTGCCCCAGCTCAGCTTGTGTCCCAGCGTGAGAATGTGATGTGCAGAATAGATCTCACTGGGGGCTCTACTCCTGTTCTAGTCCTCAAAAAATTACTCCCATGATCTTCTAGAAATTGGTTCTGTTGGCACCTGCAAGAAGAGGAGGAGGAAGAGAAGGAAGGCTGTTCTGCAGCAGTAAATGAGCAGTAAAGCTTAGCTGCTATCTGTAGTGAGTATAATGGTGCTTTGCCAAACCTTCTGCAAGGAAAACTGGTTTGAGCCTTTTGTACAAATTACTGGCTGACCTATTAAGCTATATTCTTCTCTCAGTTCAGTCCCTCTGGTGTAAATCTGGAGTAAGCAAGTTGGTGTAAGCCAGTGGAGGCTCAGCAGCATCAACTGAGCAGCATTTGTCCCTTTGGTTTTTCTCGCCCCAGGCGGATTCATCTGTCATTGGGAAGAAGCAGAAACTTATAATTAACAGAGAGGCAGGAAGAGAAGAGCAGAGTTCAAAGCTGTCTGCCAAAAGAAAACGATCCCAACCGAGTCTCCCATGATTGTGTCTGGGATGACAATCGCAGCCCAGCACTTCCAAGGACAGCTTATTGTTGTGCCGTGCTCCCTGTCCTCCGCTGTTGCTATTGTCCGCCTGCCTTGCCTCGCTTGTTGAGCTGTAAGTTGCCAACACAAAATTAGGACTCTTCAGGGGCTAAAGGTCAACTGGAAGCTTTGTGATCTTTCGGAGGATGTGAGTTATAGTGAGATCACAGAAAAGTTTTCAAATGATGAGCGATGCAGTGGCCAAAGGGGTTGGCTTAGTGATAAAGAACGGAGCAAAACTGGGGGGCTGATCCATTCCTCTGGGTAAATTTCTATACAAGCGCCAGTCTCATTTTGTCCATATAAAACAAGCCTGGTTTAACCTATTTAAAATGGGGTTAAAAGGGGTCATAAATCTCTACAGGAGCTGAGGATCTGCAGAAAACTCGATCTGATCTCTTTTACATCTGTTTCAGGTTCTCAGCCTTATCTGCCTCAGCTGCCTTTGCTCTTTGTGGCCGCACACAAATGCCATTAAACAAAAGTCCTTTTGCAGGGGCTGAGTGGCAGGNNNAGACCTTCCATGTGGAGTTTCCTATCTAGCGCCTCATTCCAGCCCTTCTCTTGTCTTCCATGAGCTGTGGAGACCACCGAGGCAGCTGGGGAAGGGGCCTTCCTCAGGGGGGAGAGCTGAGGAGGTTTTGGGGGGCAACCAGGGTGTCTTACCCCGGGTGGGACCACCCTGGCAGAGCAGCCTCACCACGCTCAGGGGGAGTTCACGCTCCTCCCGCTCCCAGAGGGTTTCACATTCTTCCAGCTCTCCCAACTCTCCTGTGCCAAGTCCAGCAGCACTTCTCCCGTCCATCCTTGTGTCCTTGTGTGACACCCACCTCGTGGGATTCCACAGAGATGTGGGAAACTGAGGCACAAGTGGCCTTCCTGCCTGCTCGGGATTGCCCAAGAGGCTGATCCTGGATTAGTCTTCCCACTCCTCCTCCTCCTCCTCCCCCCCAGCAGCCTGACCTGCTGGAGCAGCAGGTTCAGGTGCAGAGGGACAGGCAGCAGCTCTCGCCCCCCTCCCTGAGGGGCTGTCGGCCCTCGACCCCCCCAGAGCTGGGCTGGGGGCTGCCTGAGCTCCCATCCCCTCTCCTGTTTGCCCACAGGTGACTGTTCCCAAGATGTCCCTCTGGAACATCGTGTCCCACATGCCGCAGGAGGAGCTCAGCAGCCTCTCCCCAGAGTTCCCCCGGAGCCTGCGCTGCCTCCTGGCCGACTGGCTGGAGAACCAGCCCTGGTGAGTCCCCGCTGCCCTTCCTGCCCGCAGCAGTGTGGGGCTGGGGGTCACACAGGGGAGGGTGGTGGATCTGTGCCCGTTCTCCCAACCTTCTCCCCCCTCCAGGGAGTTCATCAGTGGCTCGGACGCCTTCTGCACCAGCGTGGCCAGCCGGTTGTTCTCGGCCATGCTGGAGAAGCTCCGCGGCGCTGCCGGGGCTGAGGGGCAGCAGTGCCAGGTCCTCCAGCAAGTCAACGGCCTCGAGGTGTGTGGGGACCCTCGGGATGGTCCCCCTGTGACACCCATTTCCAGGCTCGTGGGCAACGAGCTCGTGTGGACTCAGCGAGTGGCTTTTTGGGGTGTTCCAGATGACAGAGGGGGGGTTTTGTGTCCCAGGGCTGACCTCAGCTCTGCAGACCGGTGACCCCCGGGGAGCTGCCACATCCCCCCCAAAACAGACCCTGACCCTGTGGGGAACCTCCTGAGCCCCTCAGCCCCCCATGGCCCCAACTGTCAACACCGGGGGCCACCTCACCAGATTCTTCCCCATTTTCTGCTCAAGCATCCGATTTCTCCTTCCTCTGTGCCGTGTGGGGCTGCATTTCCTCCCGTCATGGGCACTGGGTTTCACTTTTGGGGCTGTTTCTCTTATTGGGGCTGTTTCTCTTGTTGAGGCTGTTGAAATCGCTCTGTTCCTCTCCCACCCTCTGATTTATCCCCCCTCTCTGGCCAGCGGAGCTTGGAACGCCAGGGCTGAGCAGGACTCACTCCCAGAGCCCTGTTCAGGTTGAAAACTCCGCTCTTTGGGTAACAGACATTTTTAATATCCAACATTTGGGAAGGGATCAGCTTCAGTCACAACCTCTGGGGAAGAGGGTGACTTTCCAAAACAAGGCTCTTGCTTTTTGCGATGGTTGCAGCAAACAAGCAGATGTTTCAGCTCCTGCTGAAGCAGAGCTGCCCTCCCACGTTCGTGTTCCCTCCTCGGGCCATCCCTCAGCCCAGAACACCAAACCCTGGTTTCTCTGTGCCCGGGCGGGCTCTTCCCTTCTGTTGGTGCTGCCGTGGGCGGTGGGAGCCGGGTGCTCCCCAGGATGGGTAACCACAGGGCCAGGGGTGCAGGCAGGAGCCAAACCTGGGCCTTTTGCACCTTGAATCCCACGTTTTGCCTGGAAGAGCCCTGGGGGCTGCCGGTGCTGCACTCAGACCCCCGTGGATCTGCAGCAGAGCTGCCTCCCACCAGGACAGGAACGCGCCGAGCGCACCACGGCTGCTCCCCGCTGGGTTCTGCCGCTGTTTTGGGAAGTAGCTAATTTGGGAAATGCGTGAAGGCCGGAGGAGCTGGCACAGGAGGGCACAGGAGCTGGAGCCAGCGGGGGAATTCCTCCCTTTCCGCTGTTTTCAGTGGAAAGCATCGATCCACCAGGGCAGCTCTGCCCAGGGCAGCTCGGAGTCTCTCCCAGGTGTCGGGCTGGCGAGGCTCGAGGCCGTGCTCACAGAAATGGAGAATTCCCCTTGGTTTGTTGGTTTGGTTTGGGTTGTTTTTTTAATTTGAAGTTGATTCTTTTGCCTTTTATACAAAAAAAAACGGAGTTGGGGCGATGACCCTTGTGGTCCCTCCGGCTCCGGATACTCTGTGACCCTGTGCACGGTTTGAAGTGGTTTTAAGGCTGGAAATCAGCTCTGTGGTGGTCGTGGAACCCCCGAGTCGCCTTGGCCTGGTGTTGTGGGAAGGGGCCGGGGTGGGAAAGGCGGGATGGCAGCCCCGCAGCTGGAGCGGCCAGGCTCCAGAGGGGATTTTGCTGGGTTTAGCTGATGCCTTTTAAGATTTGTGGGTTTATAGCGTTTCACTGCCGCTGTGGGGAAGAATCTTAAGTCCACCGCCCCCCTCAGATACCAACCGCCCCCTAATCCTTTTGATTTGCCATACACTACCCTGGCATCTCACAGACCTGCGGCATTAGTGCCTCCGAGCCCAGGGCCGGGGCGGGGGGAGGCTGGAAAACAGAAACATTTTAAGCTCTATTAGAAAGGGCAAAAAGTCAGCGGGCTTTGAAATGAACGAGCCCAGCAGGAGCGGTGGAAGCATTTCCAGGAGACAGCGGGAAGGCATTTGTTTTCTTGGCTGGCACCAAAGCGCCGGCTCGCCGTGCCGCGCACAATGCGTGGGCTTCTGTGGGGCCATCGCATCGACAGCCACCCCTCTTCACCAGCCACCCCTCCTGCCCACCACCCCTCCTTGCCAGCCACTCTTCTTCGCCAGCTAGCCCTCTTTGCTTGCCACCCCTCCTCGCCAGCCACTCCTCCATCGCCCGATGTAACCCCACCGCCAGAGGAACCGCTGCGGCGACTTTTGCTCTGCTGTGGAAGAGCGAGCCTCCTCGTCTCCCTTTTAATCGCCTGTGTTTGCACAGCTCCCCGAGGGCTGGGTGAGCAAGGGTCAGAAAATGACCATAAAGGCTCCTATCCACAGACTAGGTTTTTGTTTGATTTTGATTTTTTAAAAATTGTTATTTTTATTATGCAACCCACTTTTCAGAACAGCCACTTTTTATTGGATTTTCCAGTGTCTCTTGCTTTGCATAATCCTCTTTCTGACCAACTCTACTGCCCAAACTCTACTGCAGTCCATTTGTAATTTCTCAACCTCCAGGCTAATTCTCACAAATAAAACTCAAACCAAAGAGTGAGACAGTGCCTGACATAGGAGCTGGGGCTCCGCAGACTCCACAGATCCAGAGGGCTGTTTGCCCCCAGCTATGGGCAGGATCAGACCTATGCTTTTCTGCTCTCGAAGTGTTAGAGACTTTGCAAGGCTGATCTGTGCAGCTTGGCTGAAAACCAGAGTGGCTGGCAGCAGGGAGAGCCTGTGGTCAAGCTCATGAAGCTGTGGGTCCTGAACTCGAAAAGATGTACAGATGTACTATGATTTGTAGTGAGTGGCCCTGCAATGTAAAAACCAGAAGCATTTTTTCTCCTGCTTTTCCCAGGGATTTATAAACCAAATTGGAGGCCTACCCTCTTCACTGGTAGAATGCTGCCAGTACAGGCAGAACCCTGGCACTGTCACATTTTGTCATACTGAGCTGCAAACTGAAGCGAGCAGTGAATGGCTTGTGCTCGATGTGAAAGGTGCACAGAGGCCACCATTCCCTGCCTGCGCATCAGTCAGAGGGAGAGTTCCCCAGCTTCAGGTCGTTTCACCTCCTTCAGGCATCAGAGCTAATCAGAAAATCAGTCCTTAATCTTCACCTCTGACTGACCCAGGTGCTTGAAGAACCTTCTACCAAAATCATTCAAACTCAGACAGGTTTGGCTGACTGGCCTTGGTAAATAATTCCCACAGCTATTGTGGCAGAACTGCCGAAGTGAGTGGGATGGAGGGATGATAAACACTTTGAGTAGCAACTGCTTCATCTGTATCAGTGGCAGCCAGACCAGCCTTGGAAATCTGGTTCACAGCAGGATGTGCTTTGGCACCACGATTTCAGGCTGGCTGGCAGTGGGCTTGGCCATTCTTCCATGCTTATCCAGGTTGTCTGGTTGCTCTCCAGCATGGTTTTAGTCCAGTTTCCGATATGCAGAACGGATAAGGCCACTCTCTTTTGAGGGGAAAGAAACTTCAGCTGTGTGTATATAAGCTGTGTCATGCCACTTGGCCTCATGAGCCCTGGCCTGTTTATTTAAGAGTATAGACATAGGTCAGGTAGAGTAAGTCCGGAGATTTACACAGAGGTTTGCTACTCCAGGTTCACAGACAACCTGACACTGCTTAGCTTCACGGGACATTAAATCTCATGTCAGAGCCTGGCTGACTCTGCAAGGAAAGTGTCCCCTCCAGTGCATCTTCTTCTCAGTCCCCTTACTCACAGGCTGGGTAAGGTCTTCTTCACATGACGATGGACAGATCTTTATGTCTCTTTCTGTAAGAGGTTTCTGTATAAGGGGAGATTTGAGCCCTGACTGCTTGTAAGCCTCATCCCCACATGGATTTCTTAGTTGTTTAGAGTTTGTTCACTTCTATAAAGAGTGTAAGGATTGTTCCAGCAGCTGTTGGAAGACAGCAGACCCCAGATTCCTGACATTTTGATATTCACACTCTATTACCCTTATAAAATGGGACCTGGAAAGATGTGTGGGGCAGCATCCCCTCATTCTCTGCCTTTAATCTCCAGTAGCTGCCACGGGCACAGCTGTGCTTTCATTAACCGGATCACTGACTGATCTTGTAATTTTTCCAGGCCTAACTTTGCTGGAGGAGATCAACCCAACTTTCTGGTGAAGCTGACACAGCCTGTGTTAGTGATAGGATCCAGGTACCCCACTCTTTGGCCAACAGCCAGGCCTCCTCCACTGGCACTAACTGGGTGAAGATGTTTCTTCTTGCACGTAGAGGTTTCTTGTTGCAGCCTCCCAGCTCAGCCTGAGACTCCCAGAAGGGAAGACATTACTCTTTCAGGTTGACCCCATAGGACTGGAAAACCTTGTTCAGTGCTACATTACTCAAAAGCCTTGATCCCAAGAAGGAGAGGAGGTGCTTCTCCAGCTTATTGATTGATTTGGGTTTTGTCACAGCTCACTTGTATAACTCACTGATTCTGGTCCCTGCTGCTGTCACTCGGGGTAACCCTACAGTGGTGGTCAATTCATCCCTGTGAAGGAGCTGCAGGGCAGAGAGGAATTGCTTCCACCTCCTTGGAGATATTGCTAAGAAGTTTGTCGTCCTAAAAAGAGAGAAATGAATTCTTTAGAAGAATCTGCCATTTGGCAGCAGAGCATTACAGAAGATATTTTCTTGTACAAAACAACAAAGACTATGAGGCTTTTACACTGTGCAAGTTTAATTGTCTGAAAACTTTTCATGGCTTTATGAGCCTTTTTCATGGTCTTTATGAGAGGTAACCATTGAATAAGGTACGAAATCAGAGCTACAGATGCATTGGAGCCTCAGACATCTTGGCAGGTTTTGGCCTTTGGGTGAGAAGGCGCTGATGCAGCATGTCAGGGCAGGAAGCAGCATGGGATCCATTTGAAGTTCTGCAGAGAATGGTCAAGGCTTACAACAGAAATAGCTTTGAAATTCCAGTGCTATCAGGACTGAATCAGTGTAAAACCAGAAATTCTGGCCATCAGGACCTTTCTGTGGAGCCTTTGTGTAGCAACAAACAACAATTCCTCAAGGCAGAACTCTTTCCTGGAGAGGATTTTGGAGAGAGAAGTACTTCAATTTACTGGAAGTTTGAAATGAGTATGCTGTATCAAAGTCATTGAAATACAATTCAGTTTTGATGTTTTAATTAATTTACTCTAAAACATAATTTAAATAAAATTGCTATTAAAGAAATTGTTACAAGTCTTTCCTAGATTATGAACTTGCCAACATTTTTAAGAATTCAGTTTGGAGTCTGCTTAGTGTCAGGGGTCCTCCAAAACTTATCCTTTTAACTTCAGAAAGACCCATAAAATTGGAATATCAAGAAGTAGGATGATGTTGTCCTCCAGATAAGTTGAATTTATTGTGTCTTGATGAGATCCTAGTGCTTCATTTATGTGGAAGAGGTAACTTTTCTCCTTGTTTACTGCCTGTTTGCAATATAATTTCTCTTTTCCTTCTCACAACATGTTAAGGATCAAGGATTACATTTTCTGTTGGGGCTGCTCCAGTTTTCATGAGAGATGCAACAGTTCACCCAGGGAACAATCCACAACTGTGATTTCTCAGCAGGACTCTCCTATCTCACATAACCACTGATCCCTTTCTGAGCTGAAAGCAAACCTCCGTGTGAAACACATTGATACAGCCACCTCAGCACACCCCTTTCTTTTCTTTTTTTTTTTTCAACCTGAATTCCTGCTGGCTCCCAATGCAAATCGTTTCGATCCTGCTTCACAATGGAGCAGGAAGGCTTTCCACTGGAAAAGCATTCAGTTTTGAAAGTGCTTGTGGCGCTGGGGAAGCTCATGGTTTGCAGCCAAGCAGGGCAAGATCACACTTCCAGGAAAGTATGACTAACCCAATTTCCACATTGACTTAGCACACAGAGTGCCCTGGTAAATATAGCACCTCAGAGGTCATAGGGATGGGGTGCTGGGGGTAGAGTTCAGTTAATTTATGGCCAGACAGTGCAAATCAGGGGATTCTGCCCTTTGATGTCTACTCTGTTATCGGCACTGTCTTGCTGGGTGAGTGAGATTAGCCAGTGTGCATTATAGAGTTTCAGAGTAGGATGTTGTTTCCTGGATGGGCAAATAGAGATGCTGCAGAAATGGGATGGTATGCCTGTCAGAGCTGGTAGGCTCCTGATGGAGGAAAGTGGATGGTGGGGAGGAAAGAGTAATGGTGGGGAGGAGGTTATCAATGAAACACCTTACCAAGGATGATGAGGCACTGGAACAGGTTGTTCAGAGAAGCTGTGGA